ATCTCATGCAACAGTGTGAGCCTTAAGGCGCGGTCACATTTCCCAACCCGGGGCCCGGCCGGACAGTCGTTTGGAACGAAAATTATGAAATGAGACAGCAAAACACAAAAAAAGTTTTAGAAAATTAACCTTGAGCACTATTTGTGTATACTCTTTGTACAAATTGTTTCTTTTTCGTTCACGCAAACAACCCGGCCGGGCCCCGGCTTGGAAATGTGACCGTGGCCTTACTAGTATGTCATTGATGTATGTGCTATAAGACATCTTTGAAAACACATTCTGTTGTCATTCTTTATTTTTTTTCAAAAAATTGAAACGTATATTACCTAATACGAACAGGAATAGTCACAGGCCTTGTGTCAATTTGAAACGGGAGCAAAGGCTGGTCCACTGTGAGGAATATGGCGGTGTACCCCGCGCGTTCTGCCCGAGCCAACAGGCGCTTCATGTGACCACGGTCTTTGAAGAACAGCATGTAGAACCAGCGGATCCCGGGAGGGGTCGCTTCAGCCACCTCCTCTAGGGAGTGGTTAGCCCAGGAACTCAGCACCATCCCTGTGTTCATGGCAGCGGCGCCTGGAGAGAAACCAACGTTTTTAATCCGTCATAATGAGGAAAATATTAGCCTCCACCAGGCCTTCCAAATGGGTTGTGGATTGTAGACGTCGAAAAAAAAGTAGGGTAAATATTTGGTCAGAAGAGTTAGCCCGCGTTGAGTGATGTCTCTCTTTACGTCTCCCTCGATCTACATATAGTGGCGTTAATTTTTTCGGGAAGCGACGCGAGTAATGCCGCGTAGGGACGGTTTTGCAACCGCATAAGTTGCGTCGCTCCCCCCAAAAAATTAAGACTGCCACCTCAGAAGTCAGCAAAGGAGGCTACTTTAATATACCCTACCTTTAGCGGTTGCCAATTCCGCGTCAGGATGAGCCAATAGGTGCATGGCAGTTGGCCCAATGGCTACTGGGATATCCATCCGGGTCCCTAGTACCGTTACGGAGGTGTCCCGGATGGACACGTCGCGGAGGTTCCGTGGGACGAGGCGGTATCTGAACGACACCAACAAACAAACAAATAAACAAACAAAATATAGGGTCTCAGACGAACGGAAATACACAGAGCCTGCAAGTGTACAATAGCCAGTTGTGTTGTTCTCAGCACTTGTTACCCAGTGAGAAACCCGCGACTTCTGAACATTTGCCCTAGTAATAGGTCAGCTGCCCACTACTTACTTAGATGTACATGTTTGTGATATTTTTACCTCCATGAAATGTGTCATGGAGGTTATATTTTCAGTTGCGTTTATCTGTCCGTCTGTTAGTCAACAAGATAACTCAAGAACGCCTGGATGGATTGGTTTCATACTTGGTGTGTTGGTAGGGTGTGACGAAAACTGGAAATGATAAGATTTTGGTCCCCCTAGTGGCTTCCCTTGGTACTGCAGCGCAACTTCCGGTTTTGATATCTCGCGATCTGGACATGCTAGGGTCATGAAATTTTGATGGAAGGTAGCTCTCGTGCTTCGAAAGAAGTCATATGAGTTTGGGCCCCCTAGCGGCTTGTTCTGGAACTGCAGGGCACTTTCTGGCGAAATGTTTAAAAGCCAATAAGTCCAGACAGGAACAACACATTTTCATTATTTTTGGTGTGTAGGTAGCTGAGAGAGAGATGTACATAATTAAATGCAAATTATGCAAATGAGGACCTTTTTGCATAATTAATGAGGAAATTCTATAATTACGGTGTTTTACATTATCTCGCGATCTGGACATGCTAGGGTCATGAAGTTTTGATGGAAGGTAGCTCTCGTGCTTGGAAAGAAGTCATATGAGTTTGGGCCCCCTAGCGGCTTGTTTATTTATTTATTTATTAAATTATGCAAATGAGGACTTTATTTGCATAATTAATGAGGAAATTCTATAATTACAGTGTTTTACATTATACTATGTAACCTATGGCAGGCAAATGATGACCTAATTTGCATAATTAATGCGAAAATTCTATGATTTCGTAATGGTGAATGATGAGAATGTCATACTTGGGACATCTGTAAGCTAATCAAAAGTTATCATGTTAATGCAGAGGTCATTTGAACAATTAAAGAAGAAATTTACATTTACATATCAAGATCATATTTCATGGAGGTATGAGATCTCGGAATTCTAGTTTCTTTTATTCCTTTGTTCTCCTATTTTTTTAAATTTGCAGTTGATTCAGACAATAAAATTCCCATCAGAATATATGAATTTAGCTCCAAAGTCCAAACTTGAATCCTGGTCATTCTTTTAATGTAGTAAGTTGAATCAACCCATATCTGTCAGGCAAAAACGCCATGTCACTGACGGAAAGCACGTTAATTCTTTTGGCAACACAAACCATCTCAGGTAGCTTGTTATTGAAATGTTGACAAAAATTTGCTCACTAAAGTGGGACCACTATATGAATTTGCCATTGGAATCTATGGTGAGTTCAATCCTCGTTCGAGGTGCCTCACCAGACACTTGGTGAAACCACTAAAACATGCACTTATATAATTAAACTTCAAACACATTTCCCTTATTCCAAACCTCAAGTCTCTGACAAATTGACGTTTAACCCTACCTAGACCGGGGGGGGGGGCTAAAAGTGCCCGCGGCAACTTTGATGTCACCTAGCGTCTGAACGGCTAGCCGTAGAACGGCCAAACTTGGTGACTTTTCCTAGAATATTGTTGGCAACAATTCTCTATCAATGGAATAAGATAAAAAAATTTTGTGTTGCCATGGCAACGGGTTTCTGACAGGCATTTTTTTGCTAAATTTAGTACTTTTTGTTTCAACAATAGAATTTTATGGGTTTTATGTCAAGTTACTCATGGTTTCTAATATTAATAACATCCCATATAATTTTATGTAAATTTTATCATTAAATATGCATAATTTATGCTAATTTGCTCATTGGCCAAAATCCAAGATGGCGGACCATATCATTAGAACAGGTATATACAGGCTATTTTTATTAAAATTTCATCAATACTTCCATTTCTTTTTACAAAAAAGGTTTAAATGAAGGTCTTTAGTATGTTTACGATGTATTTTAGGCTTTATCATGAAAAAAAACTATTTTTGAAAATTCAAGATTGATGATCCAAGATGGCGGATATCTTAAATATGCATGACGCCATTTTATGACGTCACCGGTGTTGCTATGGGCAACATAAGACTTAGTACACCATAATATTCTGTCATAAACACTTTTGGTACAGTTATGTTGAATACCATTTAGTTTTCAGGGAAAAACCTATTTAGACGGTTTTGGCCAATAAAATCACATTAATGACGGCATANGAGGTCAAAAGAGCCCCCCCCCCGGTCCCCCCATGTCAAAAAAAGCCCGGTCTAGGTAGGGTTAATATGTCAATCTCACAAATCCGCTGCTGTCATGTTTCTTTTGGAAGAAAGAAGTGGAAAGTCAACTCGGGTGTTTTAAAGAGCCACACCCAAAATCTTGGAATGACACCAGGATTTCACCCCCTGTCCAAGTGGGTCAGTCCATCCGGTGAAGAAATACTCAGGCATCAATAAGAGGGAAAGTCATACCAAATGTCGGGCAGATTGTTCTGTCCTTCTTATTAACTGGGTATTTCTGTGCAAATCTTGCACAGGACAAACGATTCTTTGGAAAATATGATTGTCCACTAATAAATCGTACAAAGTGCCCTTTCTGGCTGCGTCCTCAGCCTTTTATGTGACACTGAACCCAGGACCCTCCCATCTGGTAGTAATCATGAACCGGTGAAGTGTACAGCGAACTCCTTACCGTTTGAAGGCCTCAATGTTATCTCTGTACGTTTGTCCGTCCTCAGGACGACTGTAGTACCCCCAGGCAAACTCCGACAACTTCTCGCGCGCAGACTGCTCTATGTCTACGAGGGTGGGGAGAGGAGTTCGGGGAGGCCTGTCCATCGTTGTCTTTACTTGTCAGGACCCTGACTCGGAATTAGTTACGGTGAACAGGGCGGCTTCATGACTACGTGCGGCGGGCTTCCGATAGTTCCTGCCCCGGGAGTTGATGTTCAAGGTCGTCGGTCATGTTGTTCTTCCGGGTCACACGCTGATATTTTCTAAAAACACTAGCCAAACCATTTAGAGTCCTTCTACTACGTAGGTAGGTAGGTTGATGACCATGTTGAGGAAAAACACACACTCCCGGCTGATACACAGAGGGGATGTGATCATGTTCCCTAAAGATGAATTTCATTGATAGCCCCCTTTGGAGTTGAGAGCTAAGGCCAATCAAATCAACATGGCCTAACTATGAGTAGGGCAAGCCATTATATTACATATGACGTTGTCCAGCAATTGAACCTATTGTTGACTTTCGGGGTCATCCAAATAGAGGGCACTGAGAAGAAACACCACCGGCATAACGTGCCACAAACCCCTGTTGAATTTAGACTTGCTTCTGCTGCTGTATCCTTGACAAAAAAATCTATCATGGCGGAAGGGCTGAGTTCTGAGCTAACGTGTCTTGGACTTTGAGAAGGAAGCACACAAGAAACTTTTTGACTTCGCCTGGCGATTCTTCAGCAGACAGAGAGGCGCATGACGGTCTTATCATGACAATTCGTCGGACGCTTTCAAACAGTAAGTGGAGAGACAATATCGTGAATATCATTACTTCCGAAGTCTACCTGAGAAACGGTACATTCCATTCTTCCGTGTGACCACATGCCCTGGCATCGAGAGTGTGTAACAGTGATTGAGGGCAGTCACCCACCATTAAAGGAAAATATTCTCGTAAATACATGTTTTGGTATAAACAGGAAGAGCTAAACACACTTGTACAGGCAGAGGGAGTTTCAAGTTGCCTGAAGGTGGACCGTCGGTGCGAGGCAGGGCTGATGTATTGCCAGTTAATGTACATCGTAATACGTTCATTTGTTTTATCCCTCGTGATTAAAACCTTACTTTGGGTCGTATTGTCTAAAATGAATTGATAACAAACAGAATTCAATCGTTAACATTCAAAGTCAAAGAGTAACAACATGAATCAGATCTAGATGATCAAACCGCTGGAAATAACACAGTAAAAGTTCAAGAAAAACAGGAGGTTACTAGTATACAACAGAACTTGCACTGTCTGTATACTCTATATATTGTGTCGTATTGCAATTAGTCTTGGGCATGAATTTGCAAATTAACTTCAAACTTTTATAAAAGGTTTTTTTTTTCAGGTACCGTCTCATCCCTCGTAACCTCCGTGACGTGTCCATCCGGGACACCACAGTAACCGTTCTGGGTACGAGGTTAGATTTCCCGGTAGCCATTGCGCCAACAGCCATGCAGCGGTTGGCTCATTCTGACGCGGAGTTGGCAACCGCCAATGGTTTGTGACGTCATTTTCTTTCCAACGGTATTTTCATTGTTACGTTTAAGGTTATTATTCTCAATTTCAGTTTATTGGGATGCCATTTAGCCCCTTATCTTCCAAGGCTGGTACACCAATTACGGATACAGAATCAGCAGGCTAGAATCAGACATGTACAATCACAATGCATTATCTGGGTACAGAAGTATGGTTTTCAGTGGCCGAGCTGTGGGTTTGTGTGTCTGTTTGTATAATTTCTTTGGTTGCGTGGTAGGTGGGATTTATAGATGATTAATAGGGAGCTCAAATTAAACCTGAAGGTGACCCAGCATGTACCGGGTGCGGGAGTAAGTGATCCGCAATTGCAATAGAATCGTTATACTTTATAAACATATATTGTCTCCACATATATGTGAGTGTGATTTGGTCTTGTGGCTCAATATTTAGACATCGGTACTGCTTTGAGGGTTGGTACGCCGTAATACGACTGGTGCACGACAAGAGATGGCTGGATGTCGGACATCTTGGCACAGCCTGAAAACACGAAATGATAAATGTTCTAAAACTGCGTCAAAAAGTAGCAATGAGATAATATGTGGTAATTTATTAACCACTAACATTAAGAAAGGAATGAGTTCAAATCGACAAGACATTGATACAGCTGTGTGAAGTACATATGGACCAGTCTGATGTGAGCCTCTGAGCCTTATAGCTTAGAAGCTACCGTGATAGTTGAGTGGTTCAGACAAAGGAGTCAGTCAAAGTTCCATTTCGACGATTTATTCTCCTGAATCCAACGTAACGATTCCCGGTGGCCGAACAACACAGAACGGCACGTGGCGGGGCTTCTCCCGAAGAGCAAGCCTTCGGTCTGGATCCCGAGTATTCTGAGTGTTCTGAGTATTCTCTGGAATCGAAAGTCTTCTGTGTATTCTGTCTTTTGGATGACTGTCTCTCGAATTTATCCTCTAAGTTCTGGTTCACGCCCATGGTCAAATTAGGCGCAACTTGTCAAAAATAGAGAAATCTGATTGGAAGCCGAAAATGAGTAAGTTGTAGACTTCATTCATCAAATACAGGAAGCCTGCTTGACGTTCGCCCGTCAATTCGTCTGAGCGACCGGCGATTTGATTAATTTCTCATCTATCTTGCTGAATCTGAGTGACCTTTGGGGTCACTCCCCGAAGTTCAATGAAGTTCACGTGAGTTCAATGACTCGTCGAAACATCTAGATATCAATTTGATTAAAGGGATCGTAACAGGTCTGCCGTTCAGTGTTGCTATGCCACGGTGAGGGAATTCCATAAAACAATCGATTATATAATCAAAATACATAAAAACAGTCAGTTGTATAACGGTCTGTGTACACTTCCGTCACCAATCTTCTATACAAAGCTATGTGTGGTTTACAGTGATCAGGCCGGCAGCCGACCGCACTAGAGTGTTCATTTCCTAGTTCTAAATCACAAACGTGCTCGGCTGCTGCCCTCTCAACCACAATGGCAGTGATTCAGGATGCCGACCGTCGGCACCAGCGTCATACATGTATCAATTTACGGCGGCATCCGCGTTGGCGCGCCTTACATTCTGCTCTTTACTGAATAAATCCGTACGAGAGAAAAAGTATATAGTCAACATTAAAAACACTACAATAGTCAACTCAGCTATTCAGTTACTACTTAAACAAAGACAACAACAAGTCTTACACTATATCTTGTAGATTGAGTCATGACCACTAATCGGCCTTGGCCGGACGTGACAGATATCGCATTCCGCCGGGCGCGGTGCCAAGTCCCTCCAGCTTGGGGGTGACGTAGCCCCCGGGCCAAAGTAAGGCAAAACAGCCCTGGGCCAAACTAATTCAACATCATACGGCGGGAAACACGGGCCGGGATAAGTTAAACGGGTGATCCCCGTTTACACTTACTTAGCCTTCTGGTACGGACTGACTATCCACACATATCTGCCATAGCCATTCGTACGTACCTGCCCTGGCCATGGCCAAACTGAGTTCATCTCTCAGAATCTGTAGAACCTGTTGGACTCCTTCTGCACCCTATTGAGAAAAACGGAATTTAACACTGAAACAAGAAGTCGAGAGCGAAGTATGCAATCCATATTGTCCCGTGAGAGAGCGGTGGACGGTAACTATGAGGTGAGTTGAATCATATTGTCTACGGTCCAGTTGTTCTATGGTCACCCTGATCATGGGAGCCAACCGAGAGGTACTTACGTTATACGCCAGCCCCCAGAGTGCGGGCTTGCCGACACACACCTGGCTCCCAGCACGTCCGTCCCAGTCCGGACACCTCCGTCCACACCTTATACTCATGCCGTTTATAGTAACTATTGACTAACAGTGACCACTACTTACGTTGTGTGCCAGTCCCCAGAGTGCGGGCCTGCCGATGAACACACACCTGGCTCCCAGCGTCAAGGCCTTCAGCACGTCCGTCCCAGTCCGGACACCTCCGTCCATGTAAACCTCCGCCTTACCACCAACCGCACGGACGATGTCCGGTAGAACGTCAATCTGTAGAAATGTTTCAAGTTAAAACTTTTCTTCCAACACAAAGAAATCTTTCACTTAGAGCTTTCGACCAGTCACTCTGTTCTTCTTCAATAGACTGACACAGTGATACTTGTACATGTGTCACGTGGCTTCTCTGAAGTGTGGCGTCAACACTGGGTTAAAGGAATCTGGTAAACGACGTTTCACTGGGTTAGTCTATTGAAGAAGACCAGAGTGACTGATCGAAGGCTGTAGGTAAGAACATGTTTATGCAATTATCCCACATTTCTGACACTAATGTTTAGCACAAAAAACAGCACACACGCGGAACATTCATAAGGAGTCATATTTTTAGCACCTACATGTACACTTCCTGAATGGCACTTTAACTTGCAATGGAGTAGGGTTGATTCAACTTACTTTGTAAAGAAATGACCAGCAAATTGACTTTGAAACAGCCTAATGTTACATAAGATTTATCATCACGTACAGTTGCCGGAACGCCGTCCAGCTGCCTCCCGCCGTGGTTAGACACACAGATCCCGTTCGCTCCATGTGCCACGGCCATCTTGGCGTCCTCGACTGCATGACAGTTACAAAACACCCATCAGATATGGGATAATAAAACTTGATAAAACTAGAAAGGCCAATATTTTGCTTTGGAGCAAATACAGCGATGGGTTCACCACATTTTACGACATGGCAGGGAAAGAATGAGAAACACAAGGGAAAACAATGATTTACATTGATATAACTATAATATGAAGTAACATACAACTAAAACAACAGTTGGATAGCTATTCCCTACTTTATTGGTTAGGATTTTTAATTGCATAATGCAAACTGTTGATTTTCAAAATAAAAAAAAAACGTTCATGCCCCGCATTCCGATGCTGGAGCAGAAAAGCTTGAAATACCTACCAAAACACTTGAATAAAGACATACTGTCAGTATGGAAATGCTCTGTGCAGGTGTTAATCAAGTTAAATTTAATCCCAACAGCCAATCAGCAAGAAGTATAGAGGAAAGCTGCATGCCTATTGGTTGATGCCCTGCATTCCATTGTGATGACTCATGCCCAGACGTGGTAAACACGGCACACTAACACAGTAATACATTTGCTATAACACAGCCAAAAAACTCAAATAAAGCCATTCTAAAAGCCTGTATCACAAAAATTTAAAAAAAGCCTAGGGGTATTTGCCCACTGTACCTCCATACCAAATTTCAGGACCTTAGGCCCTAAAATGAAGAAGCTGAATCCATTTAAAGATATGACAGGAGGAGAAGGAGGAGAAGAAGAAGAAACATCAGAACTAGAAAGGCCGACATTTGCTTGAGAGCAAATGCAGCAGATGACTTCACCACATCCCCCATACCGAAAATGGATCTATCCTACGATGGCTGCCAATAGTCTACACCCCCATGCAGCAATGGAACCTTCCAATGCCGGAAATAGCCAAAAAGCCCTATTTTACATAACTTTAAAGTGGTGTGTGTCAAAATCGTGAATGACATTCTTTGGACATGTGTCCAAGGTATCCCCATACCAAATTTCAGGTCATTCGGATTTAATATTAGGGCACAGGAGCCAAACATGTACATTTTTGGTCCGAAAATAGCCAAAAAGCCTTATTTTTCCCAATTATAAAGTGGTGTATGTCAAAAGCTTGAATGAATTTTTGTAGACATATGTCCAAGGTATCCCCATACCAAATTTCAGGTCATTTGGTTTTAGTACCTGGGAACCAGATCTCAAAATGTATATTTTTTGCCTGAAAATGGCCAAAAAACCCAAATAAAACAATTTTTCAAAAAAATGAAAAAAACGCGTCAGGGTATTTGCCCACTCTACCTTCATGCCAAATTTCGTGTTATTTGGCCTGAAAATGGCAGAGATGAATCCATTTAAAGAAATGGCAGGAGAAGGAGGAGGAGGAGAAGAAACATGAGGGAACACAATATGTCTTCACCACTTTGTGGTGAAGCCATAAAAAGCAATATGGGTTCACCACCACTTCGTGGTGTGGTGAACCCATAATAAGAAACATCTGTGCCAGCAGTGAGTATATACAAAAAACTGTTTCCTTCTACCTGACAGAATGCCCTTCAGGACAACAGGCAGGCGGGTGTTGTCTCTGATCCACTGCACGTCTTCCCACGTCGCCGGTTGCTTCAGTGCAGCATTCATATACTCTCGGTACCCCGCACTACCTGGAGCATGGGGCGGCTCTTCGTCGAAAATGTTAGGAAGCCTAGTAAAACAAAACGACAAAGAAATGTAGCTTTCTCATGGGCCACACTGATTTAGTTTTATGACAACCGCGCGCTCATTGATTTTCGCCTGTTTTAAAAAATCACCTCCACGAAGGCTCTGGTCTGAGTGCCACACACCCCCCCACCCCCCCGTAATTAGCGACAGTCGGGAGCTGGCGGTAACTACGAAGGGCGGCACCCAGGCTGCCGACACTGCACGGAACTCAAGAACTCAGTACAGTGCCGCAAAAAGGCCAGCATGTGCCGGCTTGTCGTAAAAGTCGCTATGTACTACTGCAAATTCACAATACCAGCTTTGTGTTCCTGTGACGAACACACAACACAATCACGTTTAGCACCGACTGAAAAGTAAAAGCAAAATCTCATGCTGCAGTGGGACTTACATGTACACACCTGCTTGATGTATGTGCTATAAGACGTCTTTGAAAGCACCTTTTGCTATTGTTATTTTTTGTAATAAATGAAACGTATATTACCTAATAGGAACAGGAGAAGTCACAGGCCTTTTGTCAATTTGAAACCGGAGAAAAGGCTGGTCCACTGTGAGGAATATGGCGGTGTACCCCGCGCGTTCTGTCCGAGCCAACAGGCGCTTCATGTGACCACGGTCTTTGTAGAACAGCATGTAGAACCAGCGGATCCCGGGAGGGGTCGCCTCAGCCACCTCCTCTAGGGAGTGGTTAGCCCAGGAACTCAGCACCATCCCTGTGTTTATGGCGGCCGCGCCTGGAGAGAAACCGTTTTAGTCCGTCATAATCAGGAAAACATTAGCCTCCACCAGGCTTTCCGACGGGGTTGTGGATTGCAGACTTTGGAAAAAAGTAGGGTAAATATTTGGTCAGGAGAGTTAGCCCGCGAGTGAGTGATGTCTCGCTATACGTTGTATATCCTTCCTCACGGTGGCCAAAATCCACTGACAATTCTTGTGGTGGCTTGAAACAACTATTGATCTATAAAAATAATTTCTATTTCAAACCGTTATACAATAAGTTTGGATCACAAACAAGTTTATGATTATAACCTACCTTTGGCGGTTGCCAATTCCGCGTCAGCATGAGCCAATCGGTGATAAGCAGTTGGCCCAATGGCTATTGGGATATCCATCCGGGTCCCTAGTACCGTTACGGAGGTGTCCCGGATGGACACGTCACGGAGGTTCCGTGGGATGAGGCGGTATCTGAGCAGGGTGGAAGGACACCAAACAAATAAAAATAAACAAACAAAAATATAGGGTCTCAGACGAACGAAATCTCTGACACACAGGGCCTGCAAGTATACAAAAGTCTTTTTTCTCAGCACTTGTTACCCAGTTCGAAACCCGTGACTTCTGAATATTTGCCCTAGTAATAGGCCAGCTGCACACTACGTACTTAGAACTAGATGTTTGTGATATTTTTCTTATAGTTCTTTGTTCCCTATACCTCAAATTAAAATTTGCAGTTGCTTCGGACAGTAGAATTCCCACCAGAATATATGGAATTTGGCTTGAATCCTGTCCAATCTTTTAATGTAGTGAGTTGAATCAACCCTATCCCATACCATATCTGTTAGGCAAAACGTAGATGTCACTGACGGAAAGTACGTTGGTTCTTTTTATCATAGGCTGGTACTAGCTATTTATGGGCGGAACCAAAAACAAACATCTCAAGTAGCTTGTAATAGAAATTATTTCAAATGCTTCAAGTATGAAATGATGAAGCATGCCACACAACACAGTTCATACCTGAATGATGTCGAAAATGTGCTAATAATTAAAGTGGGGCCACTAAATAAACTTGCCAAGAATCTATGCTGAGTTCAGTTCAGTTCATCCTCGTCACGCGGTGCTCCTCTGGATGCCTCACCAGACACTTGGTGAAACCACTAAGACAAGCACTTTAACTTGAAACACATTTCCCTTATTCCAAACCTCACGTCTCTGACAAACTGACTTTGTCAACCTGACAAATCCACTGCTGTCAGGTTTCTTTAGATACAAGTGGTGGAATTTTAAAGGGCCACACCCAAAATCTTGAAATGACACCAGGATTTCACCCCCTGTCCAAGTGGGTCAGTCCATCCGGTGAAGACTGCACTCAGAGGTCATAACAGGCCCAGGGCACACATTTTGGGTAGATTCTGCTGTCCTTCTTACTAACTGGGCCGTTTTAGCAAAATTTGCACAGGACGATTATTTGAAAAATATGTCCACTAATAAATCGTATAAATTGCCCTTTCTGCGCATTAACTGGTTCCTCCCCTTACGTGACTCTGACTGTGACTCTGGACCCTCCCACCTGATTCTAATCATGAACCGGTGAAGTGCACAGCGAACTCCTGATTCTGCATAGCGAACACCCGGCCCCGGCTTACCGTTTGAAGGCCTCAATGTTATCTCTGTACGTTTGTCCGTCCGCAGGACGACTGTAGTATCCCCAGGCAAACTCCGACAACTTCTCGCGCGCAGACTTCTCTATGTCTACGAGGGTGGGGAGGGGAGTTCGGGGAGGCCTGTCCATCGTGGTCTTGACTTGGCAGGACCCCGACTCGGAGTTCCCGTGGCGGCTTCGCGACTATATGTATACGTGCTGTGGGCTTCCGATAGTTCCTGACTCTGAGGTTGATGTTCAAGTTTGTCATGTTGTACTTCCGGGTCACACAAGTAATATTTTTCTGGAAACACCAACAAGCCAAACCCTTTTACTAGTAGATAGATAGGTTGATGCTGAGGAAAAAACTACCCCCCCCCCGGGCTGGCTGATGGCGGAAGGGCTGAGTTCGGAGCTAGCATGTGTCTTGAACTTTGAGAAGGCAAGGCACGCAAGAAACTTTCTGACTTCGCCTGGCATTTCTTCAGCAGAGGGAGGGGCGCAGGACAAACTTATCATGACAATTTTGACGCTTTCAAACAGTAAGTGGAGAGACAATATCGTGAATATCATTACTTCCGAAGTCTACCTGAGAAACGGTACATTCCATTCGACATGTTCATATATGTAGTACTTATTCTAATCGAGACATCTAAATACAACCTGTTATGCCACATGGCATTGGAACTATTTTTGTTTGTTCAAGCAATGGGCCCCTTGGTGCAAGCTTATGTAGACACCAGTTTTGATTAATGATAACAAGAAAAATGCAACTTTAGGCCACACCAATTTATTTTCTTGGTTAACGGATTTTTGTAGAAAAAAAATGGAGCGGGCGGGCGAAAAAAAAATAAAAATAAAAATTTGATACTACCTGCCATACAGCCATGTACAAATGTAGTGTGAAATCCAGACTGCTTATTAAGTTACGAAAATACTGGGAAAGAAACAAAAGACAAGAGAGGATGTACTGTATTGTGTTTTATTTGCTATCCACACCATTGGGTTGATAATCTTTTTCGTACACGAGCAAAAATATTATGCAGAAAACAAGTTTTAGCATGTTAACAGTTACTTCCAAGTTCCACCATCATCATATGTACTCTAAAACATGACACGAATGTTAACTCTCACAAGCAATTTCATAGTCACAAACAACTTTAAAGGGGACAAAATTTATTCAATTTTACATGTACTGTACCTAGATTCTGCCTTGATCCAAAGTTCCAGCTTTCTCAAACAATTTAAGCTTCCGCCACAAATTTTGTCCGCCATATGCAGAACAAAAACAAATGACTGAGCCAACATGGTTCCAGAACATCGCATCTGATTGGTCAGAAAGTAAAACAATCCACGATTGGCTACTTTACGTCATGTGACTATGTGTGCAGGAGCGCCTCTAACGACATTGGTATCAACTGCAGCAATTTTATTGGGGTCTCCCTGTTCAGGGTATTACCGGCCTGTGGGGTCTAAACTATGACGTTTTTTATTACTCCGTGAAGGAGGTCAGGACCTCCGGACGGAGTGTTGTAATCGGCTGATTTTTCATGTTCGCAGTCAAAACACTGGGTTCTCTTTGTGTAATCGGCACGCAATTTTATACGCCATCTGCGGGCATGCCCGTGTTGATGCACGAATGTGTATTTTTGCCGTTGCTGCTTTCGCGGTCAATGTAATATCGCAGACGCACCCCTACAATTACGAGGCGAATTGGAATGGTCCAGAAAAACGCGTTGTTTGGAATAGCGGTGGGGTTCAAAAAAGTTCATGCAGATACGGGGTGGTTTTTATAAGTGGTTCCAGATGTTTTTGCCCATGGTTAAGAGATGCCAAGTTTTTTGGAAGATGTTCGCAGCCAAAACGCATTCTTCCGTACGTCGCATTTCTGTGTAATTTCGCATGTGGTGTTGCATTATGTCCAGGATGATGCACGTCTTTTTATTTTTACCGTAGCTGTTTTGATATTGGAGTAAATGCTTATTTTCGAAACATCCCCATTTCTTTGAAATGGTTTCGTCCGTTTATGCAACTGTTACTGCGCTAATGACGACCAGTCGCGCTGTCCTGATACACCGCGAATGTGCGAGTGTTCCCTGTAGACAGTCCCGGGAGTCATTTTTTTTGCACATTCCAGGAGCCAAACCAAAATACGTTCATGAACCGAGTCCAAAAAACCGAAACGTGAAAATCTGATGATCGGACCTGATGTACATTTCTCTTTCTATAGATTGTACACACAATACACACATCTTTAGATAATCTGGCCATGGCAGGTTAAAAAAAAAGTAACCCTGAATCATACTAGATTAGCGTAAATGCATGTTAATGCGTTCAAAACAAGAAAAAAATTGTTTCCGGGTATTAATCTCTTGAATCACGGCGCTGAATATTGACGCAAAAATATTTCGGGCATCGCGCGCCCTTCCCGCGTCACGTGTAGGCATCTCGCATCTCTGATTGGTTGTTGCGTCTTAAGATGACTGAGCCGACGCGCGTTTAAACAATTTTTCTTTGTTCGATTTATCACACTTCACAGAGAATTGTCGCCAATGGCTACTTCTTTTTGTTGCAATATATAATACTTCACGGAGAATTGTCGCCTATGGCTTCTTGTTTTTATTTTCATTCGGCAAAAAAAGCAAGCGGCGAATCCGTTAACCAAGGAAATAAATTGGTGTGGCCTTATGCAACAAAATTGGAAATGGTCAAATGATAACAAACAGTAAAAATGAGCAGAAAATACTCAATACTATTGATGACCTGATGCTGTTACCTGCACAATATATATATATATATATATATATATATATATATATATATGTCT